TTTTCCCCCCCCAGCCTGCCGGTGGTGCATATCAGTTCACTATATCCAGTCTGTCCCTGGGCTGTTCCTGCTGTGCTTGCCTGGGGCTGAGCCCTGTTCACTCCCATAGGGGCAGCGCATGCTGCGCTCCCACCGTTGCCCACAGTGAAGAGGGGGGAGTGGTGGTGGCTGCTGTGCTGGGCAGGTGAGGGCAAAGTGGCAGCTGGGCAGGAGCATAAGGCCTGTACCGGTGCCCTGGAGTAGGGGCTGGGGCCAGCAGGGACGCAGGGTGGGGCAGCAGGAACATAGAGGAACTGCGGGGAGATCTGCACTATAGAGACAAGCCAGCTGTGCCCCTCTCCCTACCACCCTGGCTGAGCCCCTTAACCTCCACCACTGGCCTCATTGCACAGGACTCCCCTGGCAGCATGTGTCTCGCGTATGTGAGCCTTGTGTGATGGAGCCAGAGACCCGGTCACACTTAGTCCTAGGGTCACCAGGACCACACGCCACCTGCTGCTGCTGCTGGCAGCAGGGGCTGTGTGCAACACAGGGAGTATGCTATGAGGAGAGGGCCCCCCACACACACACATACCCACAGCCCCCCCACACTATACAAGAAAAAGACTTCATTTTGAGCTATTTTGCAATCACCTCCGTATACATTATGCAAACACACACAAATAAGGACAAAAATATTTTTAAAGTAAAATTAAAATATCTTATTGTAGATGTTTGATTTTTTAGTATATAATTTGTGTGTGGGGTGGGGGGTTCTGGTTCCAAGATGACAAATCCCCCTTCCCCAAAAGGAGTACTTCCAGGGGCAAGGGGAGGGACTTCCAGTGCCAACCGGGTGGCAGGGCTATCCTTGCGGCCGTCAACAGTGCACCAAAACTTGTTAAGTGGCCTTCCAACTGAAATAATTGCCCATCCCTGAACTAGGGGGATAATGAAGCGTAGGCCGTCCTGTCCTTTTTGCCGCTACCACTGTTTTACTGCTGGCTACAGTAGGGGTGTTCAGGAGTGCAGTTGCCCTGTTAAATCTGCAAGCATGTGCAAAAATGAGGAGGAAAAGGTGGTGTTCTTTCATTGTTGTTGAGAAACTTAAAGTTCTGAGAGAAGCAGAAAAAAGCTGGAAACTATGCTGCTGGAAGAAAGTATGGCATCAACGAAACGCATAGACTGAAAGAAGAAGGAAGTGAAGCTACATTTTAAGCAGTGATGATAGGAAAACATCCAGAACTTGACCATCTTGTGGCATATGTGTGAGTGAGATTGCATATCTGAATTGGTGTGTCCACAGGAATGTGCTAGTTAAAAAGCATGTGAAATCTGCAGGGAACTTGGATTAGGTCTTCAGTTCAAGGCAAGCAGAGGTTGGATGTAGAGAACTTTATAGTAGAAATGGACTTTCAATAAGAGCGCACACAGTAATTTTCCCAGCATTTACCTGAAGTATATGAGGAGTTGATAGCAATGATATGTTATCAGTGTGCAAAAGCAGAATTCATACTTACCATCACAAATAGGGAAAGCAGATGAGACACCAGTGCATTTTGAAATAGCATCTGATACCACAGTAGATGAGTGGAACAAAATCTGTTCATGTAAGAACAGCCAGGTATAAAAAGTTGCACTGCACTGTTAAGATTTTCTGATGGAACTAAGTTGCAAGCCTATGTCTTTTTTAAAGAAGAAGATGCTCCTTAAGGAGAAGTTGCCACAAGAGAATTGTCCATCCACCCTTTTCCTTGTGCCCTCTCAACATACTAGTGCTGGGCTGGATTAAGTATGTATAGGAATACCAATCTGGTGCTCTTTTGAAATTAAAAACATACTTGTATAGGATAGTACAGTGTTCCCTAAACAGGAAGTGAAGAAACAGCTAAAAGATGGAAACATTGACCAGAAAACAATATTAGGAACCATAACATCCATAATTCAGCCCTTTAATGTTAGCATTAATCATCCTTTCAAAGCAAAACATGAAAACAACTATATACAGAATTGATGGTGAGTAATGACCACATTTTGGTGCCAGCTGGGAAGGTCAAGTGGCTGGAAATAGGGCAACTATCTTAAGTGGATCAAGGCTACATGGAATCTAACCCCAGCAGACTTGATAGTTAACAATGCTTCATTTTTAGCTGTCTGGATGATAGTTAGGATTGTGCCATGATGTATGGTGATACAGATGACTGAGGTACTTGGGAGGCAGCAGCAACAAAGAGTAAAGATAAGTACCAGAATATTTTTCATCTTCCTTGTTTTAATCTTATCTTTTGTTATATTTGGTGTTCTTTTTTTTCTTTTTTAACTTTATCAGCTTCTAATATTTCATTGACATTTCATAGACATTAGGGGCTAGAAGGCGCCTCATGAGATTACATAGAGTCCAGCCCCCCTGCCAGAGGCAGGAAGTCTACAGGGATCAGATGATCCCAGCAAGATAAACATCCAAATGCCTTTTCAGTGAGTCCAGAGTAGGTGATTACACCACCTCTGGGGGGAATCTGTTCCAGACCTTGGACACTTGGACTATAAAAAAGTTCTTCTTTATATTGAGTCTGAGTCGGCCTTCTAGAAGTTTGTGGCAGTTGGACCTAGATATCCCTTGGGGACCCCTGGTGAACAACTGTTTTCCCAGATCCTGATGTACCCCTCTTACATACTTATAGGCAACCACCAAGTCCCCCCTGAGCCTTCTCTTTGCCAGGCTGAAGAGTCCTATGTCCCTTAGCCTGTCCTTGTAAGGCTTGCTCTTTTGGTCTTTGATCATATGGGTGGCTCTCCTCTGGGCTTTCTGGAGCTTATCCACATCCCTTCTGAAGTGGGGGGCCCAAAACTGGACACAGTACTCCAGCTGCAGCCTCACTAAGGCCAAGTAAAGCGGGAGGATGACATCCCTGGTTTTGCTCGAGACGCATTGGTAGATGTATACCAGAGTTTGGTTTGCTCTGCCACGGCATCACATTGGGGGCTCATGTTCATCTTGTGGTCAATCAAGAGCCCCAAGTCCCTTTCGGTTGCAGTGCTAGCGAGTGTAGCACCATCAAGCCTATAAATATGATGCTGTTTTTTTCTCCCAAGGTGGAGTACCCTGCAATTCTCTACATGGAATGCTATCAGATTTCGGTCTTCCCACTTTGCAAGCGTGTCCAGGTCAGCCTGTATCCCCAGCCTGTCCTCCAGTGTGACCCTTTCCCCATAGTTTAGTGTCATTCACGAACTTTGTCAGTTTCCATCTGACGCCCCAGTCAAGGTCATTAATGAAGGTATTGAAGAGTACTGGCCTGAGCACTGAACCCTGGGGGACTCCACTGGTAACCTTGTGCCATACTGATTTGTTTCTATCAACTAGTACCCTTTTGGTGCAACCCCAGAGCCAGTTCCCCAGCCATCGGACAGTGAGATGGTTGTGGCCACAGTTCCCTAGCTTGGTTGTGAGGACAACATAGGAGACCAAGTCAAAGGTCTTCTTAAAGTCCAGATAAATGGCATCAACCTCCTCTCCCTTGTCCAGGCAATGCGTCACCTGGTCATAGAAGGAGATGAGATTGGTGAGGCAAGACCTTCCAGTAATAAAACCATGTTGGCTGGCATTCAGTTGGTTGCCTTTCATTAGCCTGTTGCAGATAGATCCCTTGATCATTTTCTCCAAGATCTTTCCAGGGATAGACATCAGACTGATAGGTCTGTAATTTCCTGGAATTGTTTTTTGTTCTGTTGTAGAGACATGACACAATCTGGAATAAAGGGAAGTGAGGTGTGTGCAAAGCTCACGTGGATTTTTGTATTTTATAATTTGTTATATTAAATTACTGTTATATTCAATTTTTTTTTTCATTCTGCCATCATAAAACTGTGTGTGTGTTTGTTTGTTTTTTGGGGGCATGTTAAATGTGCGAGAACAGTGTCATTTTTTCTGAGGTAGATCCTTGGAACAATCTTGGTTCCTCAGGCTGTTTGTGGGGGGTCTATATATAGTTTCTTTACAGTATTATAAAATCCTCCTTTTTGTGTACCTGTGATTGTGAATTACTCCCTTCCCCCATACAAAGCTCCATTGTTATCCAATTTTCATTGATTTTCTTTATTTCCAAAACTTGTCAGTGCAAACATTCATCAAGAATAAGTACAGTTCAAGTTCTCTGCCTGGAATTACCCTAATAACATAAGTTGTATCTATCTGTTAGTGTTTCTGCTCTTTCTTTTCAATTTGGTATCTTGAATGTAAAAAGAAGGGTAAGAAAGTTTTTATACTACATAGAAGCATAGGAAGTTAGGTTTGGAAGGGACCTTAGGAGGTCACATCTAGTCCCACCCCCCCCCGCTCAAAGCAGGACCAGCCCCAACTAGTTTGTCCCAGCCAAAGCGGGGTTTGTCTAGCCAGGTTTTGAAAACCTCCAAGGATGGAGCTTTCACTACCTCTCTGGGTAAATTGTTCCAATGTTTTAGTACCCTCCTAGTGAGAAAATTCTTCCTAATATCCAACCTAAACTTCCCTTGCTTTAACTTGAGACCATTGCTCGTGGTTCTGTCATCTGCCACCACTGAAAATAGCCTAGCTCCATCCTCCATCCACCCTTAGGTTGTTGAAGACTGCTATTAAGTCTCCTCTCAGTCTCCTCTTCTCTAGACTAAATAAGCCCAGTTCCTCCAGTCTTTCCTCATAAGTCATGACCCCCAGCCCACTCACCGTTTTTGTCACCCTCCACTGTCCACATCTTTTTTGTTTTGGGCCCCCCACTACTGAACACAGTACTCCAGATGTGGCCTCACCAGCGCTGAATAGAGGCGAATAATTACTTCCCTCTACCTCACAAATCACTGCACGTCTACCTAACTTCCATGCTTCCAACTGGAGTTGTATACCATTTACATACTTCTTAGTGGCTGATGCTTTATTTTTCATAGAAACATACTTCTGTTTACCTTAGTGAAAAGGGCTATTATCGGTACAAGGTTTCTGCCTACAGTGTCCTCTTCTTGTTGCTATATGTCCACATTCCCTTTTCCTTCATGATCCCCTTGAAATGTTTTGAGTCCTTTGTATCTGTTCTCTAAATCCCAAATGGGTACTGGTTGGAGAGTAACCAAACATAACTGCCCTCTATGCATTTTTCCAAACAGGATATCAAGGTCCCACACCAGACTTAATTGGCCGCATTCAGCAAGGGGATGTGGAGCTCTGGGTCTATGATGATGAGGAACCTGGAGAATGTATATGTTCTAAGGGCCTGTCTCCAGGTGAGTCATGGCAATTCCCTCTACCCCACCTCCTCACATTGCTTAGTACCCACAGTGACAGGAGGAGCTGGAACTGCAGACTTGCCCTGAACTGCTGCCCCAAGATACTGACCTCAAACACTTACCTTGATCTGTGTTGTCCAGGCAGGTGTATGTTCCCATTCCGTGTAATTTAATGATGCAGGCACAGGTAACTGTCCCCTTCTTCCTCTCTTTGGGCTATTGGGATGCAAAAGATAAAATCACTCCTTAAGCAATGTCTTCTGTTGCCTTCACCCCCTGGAGCTTGAGCCTCAGTCACCTTAGCAAGAAGTTCTGTCATAGAAAAGGGAGGCTTCCCACAGGAAAGCACTATGAAACCCTAGCATGATGTCTCAATATTAATGTAACAGAGAGCCTGGGGTTCATGTTACTTTAAGGAGATAAATGACAGCAGATAGAGCCGAGACAGCTGAGCAGGGCCTAGCCACAAGAAGGAAGACAGCAAAGAAACATCACTGTCAAGGCAGAGAGCTGCCCACGAGAGTGAAAGGGTGCACCTACAGCCAGTCAGGAGAACTCTGATTGCAGGAAGCTGGTTGCAAGGGAATAGGCAACTAAGGAAATAGCCCAGTAGGCCAGAGCCTTGCTTGTACATCAGGGAGGCTGCTAGAGCAGCAGTCATCAGCTGCCATGGCTACCAGCCTTCAGGCCCTAATGAGAAACTCCTGTTCAGCTGGAGTGCCACCTGTCTGGAAGGGACAGGGCTTAGGCAGCATATATGCCTGGGGTCTGATCCAGATCAAGTAATCTGGCCCAGCAAGATGTAGATTGAAGACTGAGGCTAGTACGGTCAGCTAGAGGAGAAGGCTGGAGGCCAAGAAGGCTGAGATCCCAACAAGGGAGAGATGGTATAGTAACACCTGTGAGCTATGAGCATGGCTGTAGAGGAGGTCAAGCGCCATGAGCAGCCCTTAAAGCTACAGGTACTCTGAAGGGCACAAACAGGTCAGGAAGGCCTACTTAGCCCAAGAAGCGCAGAACTGAGACCAGTGGAGTCTAGGAAGGACCTGCTGACAGCTAGAAGAACTGCAGTTTGCTCTAGGACCCTTAGGTAACTTCCCTTTCAATCAAACAAATACATCAAGGTGTGGCAGGTGAGTGCAAAAGGAAGGGTACTCTAGAGCTGGAACAGGACAAGGTTTGCGTGGTCACCAGGGGGCATCATGGCTGCCCTGATGCACCGAACGTGCTACATTTAGATGCAGATAGGGGTCCTATGGGCTAGAATTTCCATTCTTATTCAGTAGTGTAAGAGTTGATACCTCAGCCCAAAGTGGTCGTACCTCTATAAAACTCTCTGGCAGGGCATGATGAAACCTGTATTGCTCTATGGCAGTTCTCATGGTGAGAAGTTGTCTTGGGACCTATCAGGGACTGTGCTATAGCAAGGCTGGACCTCTCCTACTCACTGTTGTTAGTTCCTCCTGCTTAGCTGGAACTGGAAATTCCCTCCATAATAGAGAGTGGAATAAAGGCAGTGTTTAATCAGTACCTTGGGCTGTATTATAGAGCTTTCAGGTGAGGGTGAGATTCACATCCTCTCTACTCTGAGAGATATAAACTTATAATTGTGTATACTGGTATCTCCCTCTTTCTGCAGCCCTGGCCCTGAGACCTAGGGTCTGTGTGTAGGTTAACCCCAAAGCCTTTGTCCTGGTACAGGTTCCACTGACCTCTAGGACTTGTCACCAGAGGAAAGCCCTGTGGGCTCATTCCCCAGACCAGAAAATTCTCTGCCATCAGGTAGGAAGCAGAGCTCTGCTCCTTCCAGAAAAGATTAATAGACAGCGAGTGAAAGAAAAGAGAGTTGGAGGGCTCATTTCAGGCCTCGTTCATCAACTGCAAATTCTCTCCCAGAACTTTTCCTTGAGGCACAAGGTCTGGCAAACTTTAGCTCTTTTTTTTTATTTTCTATTCCTAGCAGCCCTTACACATTGCTTACACCAGAGCTGTGATCTGGCCCAGTGAGAGCAGTGCTTGACAGCCCCATATACCCATACTAGCCAACACACACTCCAGACCTGGAAATTGGCCAGTGAGGCTGTTTTAATTTTGTCCTCAGGTGCTGTTCTCAGGACTGCTAGAGACGGAGAGCTTGAGAACAAATATTGGGGATGAAGCCCAAACAGTCTCTGGTAAAGTTGTAGGTCTATAATACGACAGTGGCCTTGGGTTGGGAGGGGGAATGCTCAGTGGTGGCTGGGGCCAGGGTGGCTGCAACCTCTGGGCTGCCCCCTCTAAATGGACTGGTGGGCGCAGACCTTGGCTGTTATACCTCTGAGTTCTCCCTGGTCAGATGAGACTTGGATTTGGAACAGAACCATTGGGAATCTGAATCTGAAATTTGTTAGGCAGTGCACAGTACACTGACCTCCATCCCCAGCTTTGAGACCAGTTGGAATTAGGCTTCTTATACACACAGTGTACCCAGGTGCCGAGATCTGGCCCTGTTCTGGGGCCTCTCTGAGCTGGGTGGAATAGCAGTGCTTCCCTTTTGCCAGTGGCACAAGAACTAATTTCTGGGTTCCTTTTATCCATTCAGCACATACTGGGATGGTGAACAGAGCTGACCAGTGGCCTCCTGGGGAAGATCCTGCAAATCTGGAGGTGGTTTCAACCAGGAACCAGCTACCTATGCCATGGGAACAGAGAGCAGCTGAGTTCCAAAAGAGTCTGACATGTAGGGAAGGATTCAAGAGACAGAGAGTCTCCAGGAGCTATGAGAGCAGGACTTGCAGAGGGGAGGTGTTGTATATATGTGGAGAGTGTGGTGAGAGCTTTGGGGACCAACAGGAGCTCAGGGCGCATCGGGAGACCCACAAGAGGGAGACAGTCCACCCCTGCACAGAGTGTGGGAAGAGCTTCCGTTATAAATCCTGTCTCATCAAGCACCAGAGAATGCACTCGGGGGAGGGCCCCCACCTCTGCCTCCATTGTGGGAAGAGCTTCATCCAGCTGTCCTGCTTCCAAGTGCACTGTCATATGCACTCTGGGGAAAAGATGTACCCATGTACCAGTTGCGGGAAGCGCTTCAACAACCCATCCCACCTCCAAGTACACCAGCGTATCCACACTGGGGAGAAGCCGTACCGCTGTGGCGACTGTGGGAGGAGCTTCACACAGAGCTCTGCTCTCACCACACACCAGCGCGTCCACACTGGGGAGAAGCCATATCGTTGCCCCGAGTGTGGAAAAAGCTTCCGGCAGAGCTCTGCTCTAGCCCAGCACCAGTATGTCCACACCGGAGAGAAGCCCTACTGCTGCCCTGAGTGTGGGAAAAGCTTCAACCACCCATCCCACCTGCGAGTCCACCGGCGCCTCCACACGGGGGAGAAACCACACCTCTGCCCTGCATGTGGGAGGAGTTTCAGTGATCCATCCTATCTCCGAGTCCACCTTCGCACGCACACAGGGGAGAAACCCTACCACTGCCCTGAGTGTGGAAAGAGCTTTGCCCGCCCAGATCTCCTCCGTGTCCACGTGCTCACACACACAGGGAAGAAGCCATATAGCTGTGCCCAGTGTGGAAAAAGCTTCACCCGCCCAGCCTTCCTCCGAGCCCACTTGCATGTCCACAGTGGAGAGAAGCCATACCGGTGTGCCGAGTGTGGGAAGAGCTTCCATGATCCATCTCACCTCCGGCTCCACGGGCGCATACACACAGGGGAGAAACCATATCACTGTGTAGAGTGTGGGAAGAGCTTCAACAGCCCGTCCCACCTCCGTGTCCACCAGTACGTTCACACTGGGGAGAAGCCATACAGCTGTGCTGAGTGTGGGAAGAACTTTGGCAGCCCGTCCTATCTCCGTGTCCACCAGCGCATCCACACAGGAGAGAAGCCATGCCACTGTGCCAAATGTGGGATGAGCTTCAGGGATCACTCAGCTCTCAACAAGCACCAGCGAACCCACAGACCAGACCCTGGCCCTTCGACAGGGGCCAGTTTCTGCCAGCTCTTGCCTCATCCTCTTCCCCACAGCCTGTGCCCTGAACTGGGGGTGGGAGAAATGTCCTGAAATGTCCCCCACCTCCCCATTCACCAGACACTGGGTTTCCATGGCCCTGGGCACAGGGATGTTCTCTCAGAAATGGAAGACCCAATAGTGGGGTTAATGGGCTGAAGCTGGGATACAGGAGATGACTGGGCTCAAGGATACACTTCAGGAGCTCTGGTTTCTCCCAGTTCTGTTATCCATATTGCAAGATCCAAGGACCCTTCTTCAAGTCCCACTACTGCAGGGTTGAGGAAGAGGAGGAACAAGACAGACTTTATTCACTTTCATTTGGCTGATCAAGCCACTATTCTTCAAGTTGTGTCCATAGTAATGCTATGGTCCTTTTCACTGTGTAGTAGTCCTTCTCTCAGTGGTCTGTTACTGTGTGTAATGCCGTGCTGTATTCTTGTGGAAGGATCTCAGGTGGGCACCATAGGATTAAAGTGCAGGTGATCTTTCTTACCCAATTTAATTTCACTGCAAGATAGATTAAGGGGGAGGTGGGGGTAAGGCTGCATTGAGGCTGAAGTAAGAGAAGGAGAAAACTTTGCCACAGTAACTGTTCTGCCAGAGCGTGAGAATCTCTCCAGCAAACACCATCCCAGGAGCCAACTGCAAAGAGCATGGAGCCATTCAGATAGTAGCATTCACAGCCCACACATCTCTTTCCCCCTCCCCACCCCAAAAGGTTCAAGGTGATGTAGTTCTCCCAACAGACTCAGGTGCCCACTTTGTGGGGGAGGGGGACATGAACATGAATAAGAGCCATTGCCACTGGTGTATTTGGGATTATTGCTGGTTTTGTAGACATAATTATGGTAGTCTGGGAAGGTTTTGCATATCGTCATTTGTAGGGTGCCATCCGAAATATGAACTGAGATTATCTAGAAAGTTAGTGTAAAAATATTCCGGTGAAAGTTTGATCAAGGGGTGTTACTTGTTGAACCTATAGTGGAAGTCAGTGAGTCCAACTGTTCAATTCAGGTGATGAAAATCATGTTTACCTGGTTAGAATGCAGGTTTGATAGTTGAAAATGAAGCTGCTCTGGGTAATGATTAAATGGACATGATGTTGCAGATCTAACTGTAGTCTGTTTTCTTGTAGATACTTCAGGCAGGCAGCTCTGTGTCTTCATGGTGTGGGATGTTAGTGTACAGGGTGCTGACATCCATGGGTGCAAGTATGGCCAGGAAGGTAGTTGATAATCTCAGTTTTGTTGAGGAAGTCTGTTGTCTTGCAGAAAACATGGTCTTTGGGTGACAAGTGGTTTTAGGATAGTTTCTGTGAACCCGGCTACTCTTCAGTGAGGGTACAACGGTTGGATCATATAATGATCTACCAGAGTCGTCTTATTCATGGATCTTTAGGAGTATATAGAAAGCTCGTGGAGTGGGGGATAAGTGGAAGCAGTTTTTCCTTAAACTGGTATGGAAAGGTTTTAATAATACTTTCCAGTTCCAGAGTAAATACTGGTGGGAGAACCTCCTGAAGTTCTTCATAGTAGCTGGTGTTACAGCTCTTTTGTCCAATGGTTTGATTTACTATTTCAGTGATGGATCTTAGGAACTGTATAACCTCTGAGAGAGAGAGGTTATCATTGCCCTGGCTTTTCTTCAGAATTTGCTGTTAGCTTTCTTCCTGAAACAGTCAATTAAATTGTCCAGCATGTGATTCTCTCTGCTGGGAAGTGTCTAATCCAATGTGATGTTATTGTTGTTGTTTGTTTTTATCTGTTGTGGCAAGAAGGTTTTCAGAGGTGGTTCTGTCCTAGTCGTGGAATTATTTTCAGGCAAAGTCTGCAGAACAATTCTTCTAATTCTCCAGATATTAGTATCTTGTCAAGTTGTTCCTTTGGGCAGAAGTTCAAGGCCTTTGAAGAGCACAGGTATTTCCAAGTGAGATGAGGAGGGTGTTAATGATGTAGGTGTTCTAGGTGACACTGTTTTGATTCTTCCCTGCATTGCTGGTGTGCTGCCTATAAGGGCTTGTTCTGTGGTAGCCAGTTCCCCTTTTTTCTTATGCTAGGTGGCTGTCATCAGGTATTTTTGGTGGTACATTTGGGTCTGCTGTACAGTAATCATTTATGTCTCTAGATTGATCTCTCTTAAGTAGCATAAGTAAGTATTGTTACCAGACTTAATGTTAGACTTCATAAGAAATCCTAAAATGCTTAGACAGCAATAGTTTGTTCTCTGAAGAGAGTTTGAGCACAGCGATTTGCAATTTCAAGCATGCAACAAACAACAGAAAAAATCTCCCTAAGCTAAGATACAGCCCAATAAGACACAGTAACAACATACAGCTCAGCCTAACTTCAAATGTAACATAAGCCAAAAAGACAACAGAAAGCCTTGCATAGATCTTATGTAATCCTGAGGGAAGAACATCCCCTTGCAGCCAGGTATTTGGATGGTCTTTCTGGGAATCTGCAGACCTGGGCAGGTGAGGAAGAGATCCCACAGACCTCATCTTTACCTGGGTTCTTATAGGTGATCTGTGCCACCTCCTCTCCTTTTAGTGCCTTGACAATAGCATGCTTCTTGCATCTGCCATGTACCACATACCGCTCATGACTCGCATGTTCAGTGTCTTTGTCACTTCTCAGGTATTCCAGTCTCTCACCTCTTAAAGGTTCCACTTTGAAATGTAAATGTAGCTGCCTGCGTGTAGCTTAAGAATCAGTAAAAAGGTTTGCAATCATTATGATTGTGCCAGGCCTTTGCTAACATATCCTGTTTTAAGTTTATCCCTTTTAGAGTAGGTTAGGTGAATAAGATGGTTTCTCAGTTTTTCTGTGCAGGAGAACCTCAGTTGTGTTGCATATATGGTGTTGTGAGTGTTAGGTAAAAGTTGCAGATGAGTCTCCTTGGAATGATGTTAGGTTTTGTGTACAAGCTTAAGAAAATGTCATGCACTCTGCCTTCTCTTTTCTTCAGGTTTTGGATTTTCTATGTGAGCAGCAGATTTCTATATCTTCCATGTTATGGTAGTATTTAAGTGATAATGTAGCCATAATGGTTGAGAAATTATGTGAAAGGCAAGGATTTTTGTGGGTGGTATCTTCTATTGGACCAGCTGCATGGTTGAGCTTTCCTCCCAGACCTGACAAAGAATGCCTTGTGTTCAAAAGCGTGTCCCAAGTCATTAGGGAAGACTTTATCACTGCCTGCCACCTCTTGCCTCCTGGGATTGCTGCTTGACATAACTGCTGCTCCATCACTTAGTGGTCATGCCACCCCACTGCTCCACAGCCTGGACCAGTGTGGAGGTCATGTCACCTGCTGCTGTCACCGATACCACAACTTTGGGGATTGCAACCTCAGGTTTGCCAACACTGCTGCTGCTCTGGGGAGCACCACTGGACTTGTCTTCAGATTCATAGGATCACCACTAGGTTAGCTGCCCTGTGGCCACCACGGCTGTCACTGCATCACACGGGAGTTCTATTTTTGGGACCACTGCTGCCAACCTGTAGAGCAATGCTAAGATGCAGCCTTTTGAAATCACTGCTCTGCTGCTTGCTTTGAGGAGTGCTGCATGGGGTTGTCACTTTTGCTGCTCACCACTCTGGGTTGTAGTCTGCTGTTGCTTTGTAAGTGCTTCTGGGATCTCTAGCTGCTGGTACAGAGAGCACCCCTTCTGAGATGTTAGCTCTTGGTCTCAGTGCCACAGCTCAGTTGACTATTACTATTGAAGGTCTTAACCAGCCTCAGTAAGAATGCCTTCAAAGGGGGACTCCACAGTACAGTCTCCTTGGACTCTCTCCCTTTAAAAAAAAAAATCGCGTGTTGTTGGACTCAACTCAGGGTATAGTGTGTTCTGACATCCCCATGATTCCTGTGCAGCTGAGATCAGGATACACACATGCTGACTGACCCTGAGATCAGGATTCCCTTTGTACAAATCCCACATGAGAAACCTGCTAGGGAGCCCACTAGAAGATGTGCCAGTGCTTGGGAGGAGCTGGGAGAAATGTGTAGGTGCCTGGGTGATAAGAACCTTGTGGGAATTGGGTGCCTGGATGTGCCCAGTTAAAAACTGAACTGGCCTTTTAAGATGGTGGAAACTCTGCTGCATGTATTCTGGGTGCAGAGAATGAGTGGTGAGGGGGTGGGAAGGATCAGTGATTGGGGGAGATAAAAGGGCAGCCTGAGGCCAGACAAAGGGCCAGGGGTGTTGGGATTAGGGGTTAGGGGTGGGTTGGAATTGGTGGGTGGGCATGGATGTGGATGTTGGGGTTGAGGGGGGTGGAGTAGAGGTTGGGGTTGCAATAAAGGGGTTAGGAGTTAAGTGTTAGGATTAGGGTTTCCTCCTGAATATTTGGGACCAATATAGAATATTTAGATATTGTATCCTTTTTATTAAGTTTATAGATACCGACAACTTAATTTTTGCAGTAATTGCCTAATTTTCTTCGTGTGTATGCATATACTCTCCATCTTTGGTGAATGAACAAAATCAAATCTAAGTGTCTTACCAGGACCAGCCACTGGCTGTCACTGCTGCTCCTGGCTGAGTGAGCAGCCCTTTGCAGTACCTGAACCACTGGATGTTACTACTGCTCCATGTAGGGATTAAAATGCAGCCTTTGCTGGCCTCTAAGCGGACCTCAGGTGTCACTGCTGCCCCACATGGAGGCAAGGATGTAATTTACTCTGCCTAGTCCAACTTGAAGTGGTGCAATCACTAGGAAAAACTTGTTTATTTATTAATTTGCAATAAAGGGACTGAACACCAAGGTCAAAGATCAGTCACTAGTGTGGTTTCAGGCCCCAGTCTCTCTTTCCCCAACCCCACGTACTTTTAACATGCTAGTTTCTCCAGATACCTTATCCTCTTTGTGTGTTTGGTTTGGGAGGGGACTCGCCTGAGTGAATCAGGGTTGTGGGAGTGAATAGGGATAGGAGGGAATATGAGGGAAGGCATAGGCATAAGCCCCTGGGCTATAGCATAACAATAACAATGGAAACAGCCCTCTGCCCCATTTGAATGGGCAAACCTTTTCTCCCTCATACAGCATGCCTCCTAGCCTGGGTACCTTGTGAGATCCTCAAGTCTCGCTACTCCTATGAGCAGCAAAGCAAGCAGTCAAGCATCCCTGGGTGGCCCTGTAATCTACATGTGGGCACCAACTCCTTTTTATGGAGAAGGTGATTGGGTATTGTTGCAGGGCATTGAAGTGCCCTGCTCCTAGAAAGAGGGACAGGTGCTGGTTGCTGGGGCAACCGCAGTTTGGGTCAGCTGACCAGAAGGGGGCAGGGCCTGGCCTATATAAACAAGCCAGGCTGAGACCACAGGTAGTTCCCCTCTGGCAGCCAGGGAAGTCAGAGCTCTGTTGAAGCAGGCAGAGTAGAGAAGCCGGATGGCCTGAACAGCTTCCGTGGAAAGAGACCGGGTAGAGGAAGCTGTGGTAGGGGTTTGGGAGGATAAATGGCCTGATGGTTTAGAGTTTACGTTTTAGCCAGGAGGCTTAGCTTTGCGTTGTAGCCGATTGGCTCATGTTATTACATTCTGTTGTTTGTTGTTAGACCGGAGGACTGGGTGAGGCTATAAGGGGTTGGAGGAGGCCTCATGGGGCTCCACAGTGGTGGGGGACCCCGGTGCCAGAGAGGGCACAGCATTAAGGGGGCATTGACCCCAGCCCTTCAAGGGGGCATTGACCCCAGCCCTTCAAAGGGGCATAGTGGATTGGGGCCAGGTAAGGCCGAGGCTGCCTGAGCCCACAGGAGTTGTAGATCTGCGGAGGGGATTTAGGGGCCAGGCATGGCTACAGCCACCTGAGCCCCAAACACGGAGATAGGCTCCAGTGCGGGCGGAACCCAGGGAGGGCACACAGCCAAGAAGCCCCAGTGCGGGCAGAGCCCCAGAGGGGGTGCATAGGTGAGGAGCCCAGGGAGGGCATGCGCCTACAGACAGGAAGCCCCAGGGAGGGCGCGCGCCTAGGACTTAATCGCGAGGTTAGACCCCAGTGCAGGCAGGGTCGTGAGTGAAAGCCCAATCGCGAGAGAGGGCCCAGTGTGGGCTCAGCCGCGAGAGAGGCCTGGGAGCATCTGCGGGGAGCGCGGGCGACTAAGGAAGGAAAGGCCAGAGCGCGTCTGTGAGATCGCAGGCCATCTGAGAAATTGACTAGACAACGTCCGGGACATCCGCGAGGCTTGGGGAGTGGTATTAGGGGTGGTAGGAGCCACACGTAGCCCTTAAGGGGTGAGGGCACCAAGTCACCTTAGACGGGGCACAGACTGGAGTACGTCGGGGGTACCGTGTCAAGGAGGACTAAA